TATATAATTATATAAATAAAAATTTTTTTAAAAAAACCATCATGAGGGCCAGCCCGGTGGCGCACTGGATAGTGTGCCGCTTGGGAAGCGTGGCGGCGCTCCCGCCCAAGGGTTCGGATCCCACATACAGACCGGTTCCCGCTCACTGGCTGAGCGAGGCGCGGGAGCAACACCGAGGGTTGCGATCCCGTTGCCGGTCCCCGGTCCGGTACGGGGGCAACACTGAGGGTTGCGATCCGTTGCCAGACACGGAAAAAGACAAAAAGACAAAAAAAAAAAAAAGAATTTGCCTCTATTGGAAAGGTCTGAGATGCAAAAACGAAAGACCAGCAGAGGAAAGTTGTCACCATATTACAGATATGGGCCCTAGGCCTGACTGGCCATACCAGGGACATTTTGTCACATGGGATGCTAGGAGAGAGAGTCTGAGGTCCACTTTTTCCTGGCAGTGAAAGGGATGGGGCTGTCGGAGCAGACAACACAAGTACCTCCTACCTCCTTCATCTCCTTCAAAGCAATGTTTATGATCACCAGTTCTGTGTAAAGTTTATTGTGGTATTTTTCGTTCAGGTTGCTACCCATTAGTGAATGGTAAAATTAATTTGGTTGGTCACATCCACAATATTTTTTAAAAATAAAAAATAAGACAAACATCAGAATATATTGAATCTAGTAAGGGTAAGAATTGTTTCTTAAAACTTGGTGTATATGCATGAGGATTGATGTGTCTGACTGTATTAGCTCCTGATATAAAAATAAAATAGTTTTTTTTCTGTAACATTATTTGTAGAGAATCATTTCTGCATAATTTTCATAGTTAGATTTTTTTTTTTTTTTTTTTTGTCTTTTTTCCGTGTCCGGCAACGGATCGCAACCCTCAGTGTTGCCCCCGTACCGGACCGGGGACCGGCAACGGGATCGCAACCCTCGGTGTTGCTCCCGCGCCTCACTCAGCCAGTGAGCGGGAACCGGTCTGTATGTGGGATCCGAACCCTCGGGCAGGAGCGCCGCTGCACTTCCCAAGCGGCGCACTATCCAGTGCGCCACCGGGCTGGCCCCAATAATTAGATTTTTTAAATTAAGCAATTTGAAGGCTAACTTCTAGATTGCGTTATGTTGTATATCACTGTTTTAAAGTTAAAATATAAAACATAAAAGTAGCTGTTAAATTGGCTCAACAGAGAAAATCCAGTATCCTATCCTTAAAAAAGAGGTATTTAGAAAAGTATCTTATGTGTCTAAAGGATGGCATCTAATCAGTGACAAAGACATTATTTGCTTAGTCATTCTAGAATATAGATTTCACATTGAAATATTTAATACTGGCTGTTTTTTCTTTTTTAACTTTTCCAAGGTGAAGAAGAAAATGCTTCTCGTTCTTCCAGATGGGCGTCCTATCTGCATAGTTGGTCTGGACTTCGATAGGTTGATATAAAGAAAATTATTTATTTACCAAATAGAATCCATTTGGCAAAAATTGTTTATGTATATTACTGTCATTCTTTTGTCAGAAAGTGTGTCTATTTGTTCACATCTACATATATTTGTACATAATATTACAGATGTATTTAAAAAGTCTCAGCATGAAGTAAAAGTACAACAGCTTGAAGTGGATAGCAGTCCACCACCCTCTAACTCAGCATCGCAGAGACCACAGTTTCTGTGAACTCCCGTGCATGCTGCCAGGATGAAAACGTGAAGAATGAATTCACTCCCCTTCTCTGGAACCTCAGGACCTACCTGTTCCTAGGCAGTACTGTGAATTTTGAAGTTAAATGAAATTTTGGTATCATACCAACTGGGATTTAGGCTTTTAAAATAATGTTCAAGATTGTTTATTGCAACATCAGACCTGCAGACAGATTGTTATTGTTTATAAATTGTTGAGAAAATTTGGTAATTAAAATATGAAGGAAGATGCTTTCTTGGTAAAGTCGACATGTTTATTACGGGACTATGAAGTGAATATGCAGTTAATTATGAGGCTAGGCTGAAACACAAGTTGTTTAGTTGTTTTCTTTAAACTGTTTAGTTATTTGCTTTAAAATGAACTGTTCTTTCTCTCTCTCTCTCTCTCTCTCTCTCTCTCTCTCTCTCTCTCTCTCTGTCAATCTATCTATCTCTCCATCTCTCTCTTTGAGTATCTCAAAACTCATTATGTTGTCAGAAGCCCTAGTCCTGGCTGCTGTAACACCACCTTAGTTGGGAGGATCACGTGGTGTCTCTCCAGGCTCTTGTTACGGCACCTCTGCTCACAAGCTATGTGTCTTGAGAATTCTCTCCATCTCCCCCAGTGAGAAGCTGTCAGAACAGTGACTGCATTGTATCTAAATGTGAGACTGGTGCTTCCAGTGTTTCAGCAGATAATGTCCTTCCATAAACTTTTCATCAGAAAGGATTTTAGAAAGACACCCTGTACATCAGTGCTACACTTTCACAGTTCTTGTGAATAACCCTAGATGGTCGTGTTACTTGCCTTTAATGCCTCTGAATGTATTTTATTGACTAGATAAAAATTGTTCTTAAGAAAATCATATATGAGAACTCTATTTTTAATATTTGTTAATAAATCACTGCACAGTATGCTCTCTGAAATTTTCTTAAGCCTTGCAGTTTACACTCTTAATTTTCACTCTCAGCTGGGGAACTGACTTTGTATTTTGATTACTCAGAATATTGGTTTCCAATTTAGTTGTAACTGAAATTTGCTGCTGACAGGTTGAGTTTGTTCTTTAAAAATGTCTTTTTTCCTGTCATAGAAGAACAGACCTAACTAGCAAATGTATTAATGAAAATGCATCTATTTCAGAGCTGTCTTTAAAAAATTATTTTTACTTTATAAACTGTGAATACGAGTATTCCAGCAGCATACAATGTAACTATAATAGTATTTACATAAATTTCACCTCTCTTTAAGTTGAGACCTTTTGAAGTCTATATAAACTTGTGAAAAATAGTCTCTACTTATGAATATAATAAAAAATACCTTTTGTGCATGATAAAAAAAATTACTACTTTGATTACAAAACATTATTTCATGGTTACAGCACTGAGAGGAAATGTAATGATTAATATCTCTATTAAATATGTTTAACTGTATATTATATTTTTATGACTACTCTTTCTGTTAGATACTGTCTCTTTGGGGTTTTAACTCATTTTATTAATTGGAATTGCAAACCCCTTTATTACTGTCTTTTCACACTTGGGACCTATTAGGTACTTGAGAGAATGTAGACTGACCCTTTGGTGCAGGCCAATTAGACCATGGTGCCTACCATGTGTGACACCCTCCTTCCAGCTGAAACTGGAAGCAACACTGAGCCTTTTCTTTGGGAAAGATAGTTGATTCCACAGGAGGCGGGTGCCTGTCTATGGCAGGCAACCTAAGGGTGGCCTAGATGAGGGGCTTTGTTCAGTTAGGGGTAGTAAATCATTAACTTCTTTGGGAATTTGGACTAAGAAATGGGGAGGAGCAGAGAGAGACGGGTACCATAAGAAGGAGGAACCAAGCCATCGCTGGAAAGGAATGGACATGGCAGCCAGGCCAAGAGGGGCTTCTGGTGAGAAATAGCTCTCCAGCCCTGGCTGGGGGTGGGGTGGACAGTGCATGCATCACTCCTTGGTTTTGTTTGTTTGTTTGTTTTACTGAATCATAATTGATTATACAAATTTTGGGGGGTTAACATTGACATATGTTGATCAAATCAATATTATTAGCATATATATTATTACAAATGATAGTTATTCTTTATGCCCCTTGTCCAATATCTCCCCATCCCCTTCTCTCTCCCCACTCTCACCTCTGATAACCCTAGATTTCTCCTTCTTAAAGAGTAACAGTTAATTGTGTTCATTTGTTGCCTAGATGATCTGTCCAGTGCTGAGAGAGGTATATTTGGACCCCCCACTATTATCGCAGAGTAGATGCTTCTTCGATCACTGGAATGGGCTTTGTGGAGAGAGACATCCTCTTCTTTGGTCTCCACTGGTGAATGCACTCAAGTGGCTGGCTGGCTGGCCATCTGCATGGTGATTGTGTGTCAAACCAGTATTGCAGCAGCTGGGGCTATTGTGGTGGCTGTGGTCACATGGAAGTGGTGTTTTTGGTGTGCTCCTTGTCCGGTTGCAGGAGGAGGGGTCATCCCCTGATCCATGCCTCAGGACCCCGGGCGGTCCCATGGCAGCGATGGTGTGCCTGGATGCAGGAGGAGGAGTTGTCCCCAGCTCAATGCCTCGGGATCCTGGGCAGGCCCAGTGGCAGCAGCAGCAGTTGAGTGGGAAGGGGAGGGGGAGAAAGGGGAAGGAAATAGGGTGGGAGAAGGAAGGAGGGGGATCATGGTTGAGGCCCATGGCACCCCCCTCATTCCTGAAGGGGAGACCAGGGGACTTCCAGTGGTGTCTTGGTTGTTGCTGGGCCCAAGTTCAGGGGCCCAGAGCACTTCCTGCAGTGGCCAGGTGGTCATTTTGGGCTGGTTGTGGATGTTTGGGGGCATGGCTGAGGCTCCCAGCCCTCCCCACTCCCTGGCTTGCGGGTCCAGGGGGCTTCTGTTCTTTCTAGGTGTTATAGGTGTTCTTTGATAAAGTGAGACCTGTACTAGTTCATATCAAACTTTGTCTCTGATCTGTGGGTACTTTGTTTTTTCTTTCAGTTCTGTGTTGGATTATTCACTGTTCCCACCACTTAAACTCTGCACTGGAGCTAATTGGTTGTCCTTTGCTTACTTCTGAAATGGGGGAACTTCCTGTGGGGACCAACACTTGAGCTCTGTGGTTGAGCTAAATTGCTGCTTTGCTGCTGATTCCCTGGGGAAGGCTTTTTGTGCAGCTCAGCTTTTAATGATTGAATTTGTGTGTACTTCTGGTTCTCATGAGGTATAGTACACCTGTGTTGTGTATTCCTGACCAGTCTTCACTGAGTGGTCCTGTGCTGATTGGAGGGCAGATCAGCTGTCCGTGCTGAGTCCCAGTATTCCATCAGTGGGCCCATCTCCCCCACCGTCCACACTCCAAACACTTCCCATGGGACAGGCTGTGCGCTAGTCCCTTGTGATAACTCACTGGCCTCTGAGTGGCTCCTTTTTTCAGTTGTGTCTCCTCACTCTTGTGTGGGTCCATAGGAGCCCTGTTAGTGTTCTTGCTGGCCTGAGGGCCACCAAGGCCCCCTTCTCGCCTGCCACCTCCAAGCAACTTCATAGGAAGGGCACAGCTAGCTGTGGCTTTTGCCAGCTCTTGCTCCATGCACTCACCAGGGCCAGCCTTGAAGTGGCTGGGATTCAAAATGGTAGGAGCAGTCCTTTCTCTATCTCGTCGTGGCTTCTCCTGCCTTCGTGAACTCTGTAGGTCTCTTCTCCTCTTCCCCTGAGCTCTGGCAGCCCCAGCTTGACTGTCATTGCTTTCTAGTAATTGTAAATTGGTTGATTTGTGGGAGAGAGTGACGCTGGGGACTGTCTATTCTGCCATCTTGACCAGAAACCCACTCTTTGGTTTCTTAAGAGCCGGATATATGCAGATCCTGAGGAGTGGGAACATCTCTTAATTTCCAGAACTCTTCTGAGCATCTCTTGTACACAGTGAGTTTTGCTTGTGCTCCAGACACTACGAGATTGAGAATTACTTTTCTTGAAACAAACTTTGGCAGAAGTTTGAACTACTAGCAAAGCTGTCTTACTAAAGGCATAGAGTACTTTGTGTTCTTTTTATACCCCATGTTAGCTTATGACATAGTTGGAAATATATAGTATGGAAGGTGTAAAGGTTCCCACACAGATATATTTTGGTATTTGGTGAATGGCATAATGTAAAAAATGTACTCACAGAAGATTAATTTGCAACGTAGTCTCTCAACTGGGTTGAAAACTTGTATTTTGCATTGGTATCTGAAAATCAGATGTTGCTTCAAAAGTAATACACAGCAAAGAAAATAACTTGATACAGCTTTGAGCTGTTTTTGAGCTAATGCTCATCCATGGGTATTAAAAAGCATTTGGTTATTTATGTATAAGTTATATGTAGGAAGAAAATCTTTTTCACCTGTACTCAAAATGTGATTACATAAAAAAGAATGAAATTGTGACCTCCAAACTGTTACTTTTAAAAAAAATAAATTCACATGAGTAAACTACTGAATGTGGTTCTAAGTTTCAATAAGGGGGGTTTCCCTTCAAGGATGGCTCACTCTGAACAGATGTAGTGGTTACCCACTCCAGACGTCTGCCTAGCATTTGAGATGACAACCATCCCCTCCACCCCCACCTCACTCTGGGAACTTTTGCCCCACCCCCATACAAAGGGGCCAGTAGACCCAGCCATAATCCACTGAACAGACACAGAGCCCTGACCTGAGCCTAGTCAGATTCTCTCAGGAATATGAATTTGGAACCAGAATCAAGTTGGCATCTTCCTGTGACTGAAATTGTAATATAAACATGGGAGATTTGAAATACCCAGAAAGAGCAGAGAAAGCCAGCCTCAACAGAGAGCACAATGAAAGGTAAGCTGGCATGCAGAGAGAAAACAATCACGGGGTGAGAGTTCCAGGGACTTGAGATTCAAGTGCACTGAATTCCACACAATGTCCCTGTGTCTTCATAGTAAACTTGGTACACATGGTTTGAAAGTGAATACTGGATGTTCTGGACCACAGTCTGATGATAAGAGTTCGAACTCTTAACTCAGACAGACCGGGACACAATTTCTGCTTCAATGACTGATAGAGTGAGCTATTCTTGACCGCTCTGAGGCCCCGTTTCTTTATCTGTAAAAGGGAGATAACAAATTACATAGTTAGGAGTCATTAGCTGACATAAAACCCAGCACAAAATAGGCACACCAACACTATCTTTCTACTTTCTCAGCCTGCAAAAAGGTTTTCCACACCTGTCCCTTGTCCTGACCTCAGTGAATGGCACATAGCACTAA